ATTTAACGTTACATATCCTTATGCATAGAAGATGCCTTATGCTAATTATAAGAAACAAACTATTAATAAGAAATTTTACGAACGCATTTAAAGCAGTACATATTTAACATTCCGGATTAATTTTGGCTTAATTTAATGCCCCTCTACACTTTCTCTGTTTTTTTTTTTTTTTTTTTTTTTTTCAAGGAATACTCAAGTACCCGAATAACGTTCTGTTTATTTAACGTTACATATGCTTATATTTTTCTTCTTTTCAAGAAGTACTTTAACTTTGTAATTCCCGACTTAAGTTATCTCTAGCATAATCCAGCACTTAAGTTGTCTTTTCCTAAAATACTCAAAATAAAGAAAATATCCTGAGTTGCATTGTCTTGACTTAATGTCATTATGCATTTACGCTGCTTCTCCGAAAGGATACTCAAATATAGTAGTCACGATTTATCATCGTACTTTTATATCGCTTTTCCCAAGCAGTATTCAAACACAGTAATATACGATATGTCGAGACATTAAATTTCTGTCACGAATTAACGTCAACTGTTCCCTTCAGAGTCGAAGAACCTGAAGAATCGGACCAGAAGAAAATATGGCGGTTTCGAAATTATGAGGAATCTTAAATCTAATAGTTAAAATGAATGCTTTGGATGACACTCATTTGGACAAACTGCGATGAACAATAACTGGAAAAGAACGAAAAGCATCCAAAAACACCAGGGAAATAGCATGCTTAACTTCTGGCATGAACTATTGAAATGCACTTTGAATGTATTTTCAGAGGGAAAATAGAAAGTTCAAACTTTGCTGTAGAATGTTTTCCAGTCTTCAACAACTCTCTAATCCTTGTGCGATCATTTTATTCTATAACTGTGCTATAAATTATGCACATTTTGAGTGCTACTGTGATAAAAAAATATTGAGATTGATTCAGTTAAAATATTCAAGAGAAAAAAAAACATTTTTTCAAAATTGTTACTACTTTCATTGGCACTGGCAACCCTCCGTATTTTATCTGATTTTAAATAATTTTTATCGTATTTTTTTTTAACTAAATAAAGTATTTTTACCTTAAGCGATTTTCCAAAATGGAAAATGAAATTGAGCCAAACAGACTGAACAATTAAACAAATTTAATGTTTGCAATGTAACTTCTGCTACAGAAACGTTTGAAATACTGAAAAAAGACTTATGGTGGTATAATATGTTTAAGGAGAGAAAGCGTCGAAGAAACACCGCGCTCTAGTAGGCCATTCACTTCAAATAACCAGCAACAAATCCGTAAGTCTAAGATCGAGTGCTTAGCGATCGTCATTTAGCAATTAGAGATATTATTAAACAAGTACCTATATCATTCAGATCCTGTCAATCAATTCCAAAAGTTTGCAAATAGTCATTTCTCAAGATACTCAACAAACATTCAATTGTATTCAAATATCGTGCTCTCCAAGAGGTCCTTTTTCAAAGGAAATCCTTCGTAAATGCGTTATTGGTAAAGAAAAATTGATCTATTCTACAGAACAGAACTGAAAGGAGTAGGAACCGCCCTAGGAGGAGAAGGAAAGAAGTAGAACAGAAGAGTAGGTACTTGCCCTAGAATTAACAGTAGAAGGATAGTTGCCAACCCGGTAGATATATTCTGTATCTTTTCCAAGTTACACTAGAACATTAAAATAACATTTTATGTATATAGAGAATGCCGCCAGTACACACATAATATGTATGTGTACTTTAAATATAAAGTTAGATTCGTAAGTAAACATGAATAACTACTTATGATGCAGTCTAGTTATGCACAAAGAAAGAGCTTTTGCAGTTTTGAATAACAATACGTGGTGCATACTTTAAGAACAAAATATATGAGATGATATATAGTTAAGTACATTTTTTTCGCATTAGTCTGTCTTCTGATCTATACCAAAGAAACAACTCAACAGTCAAAGTTAATGGTGTTCGAAAGGGTAAGCATCATCGGAAAAGAGACGGCAAAAGCGGTAAAAAATCAAGGCAATGTTGACAATTTGTTGTAATAAGTCGTAGAGTTATGTGTCATGAATTTTTGCCAACTAACCAACTTGTTAATAAAAAATAATATTTTAATATTTTATGGCACTTTCATCATTAGATGGCATAAATTAATAACAATTTTTATGGATAGAATAAGATTACTAATTAAATTACTGTTAGAAATGAATACAAAAATTTTGGTGCATGCTAACTCAAATGTTGCATAGATGGCAAACTTGCCATCAATGTCAAATGTCCCATTTTCTGGATGTTAACCCGTGTATGGATTTCACAAATGATTACTTAATGAACATCTTGTAATAGCGTCTCTAATTAAAGATGAGGAGAGACTTAATGGGAGACTTTTGGATTTGTTCCAGATGGTTGGTTGGCATTATTCCTAAATTCATATATTCGCATATTTTAAATTTATTTCAAATAGAAACATTTTACTTCAACATTTAGCAAAACACTTATAACATAGTAGAAGATACAGTATTTTTTTCTTTTCAGAAAACTTGGAAGTGACAGACAGCTATGTAACCTATATATCATATTACTAAAAATATTAATCTGTATGTATCTTCGTCACATAATGGAAAGACGGTGGCACCTACATCCAAAACATCTTGAATACATGTAGTTATCCCCCCCCGATTAGTTATGCCTTTAAGCCCGAATTTTGAATTTGTTATTCTTTAACAAATATTATATATAAACTTAATAAATTTTTGGTCTATAAAATCAGCAGTTTAGAAGTAGTGTGTTGCCATTGCCCGAAATAAAATGAATAAAATAAGTTATTTTGTGTCTAGTTGAGAGAACCTCATAGACATATTCCCTTGCTTTCCGCATATTTTTATTATAAAACGATTGCCTTGTATATTTCTTGTTATTATAATCTTTAAATATCCATATTACGCAGTGAAAATGCTTCCATAATATTTAAGTAAGGTTACACAGTTTCATAATACTTCTAGCCATTTTGTGTCATCAGAGAGGTCGCATTCCACTGTTTGCATGATGTTTAGATAGATAATAGGAGCATAAGCAAATGATTAACAGGTAGCACACGTGTTCTAGTACCCCCTCTCGCTGGAAAGAGAACAAAAAAGAACAAAAAGTCTCCGTCAAGTATTCGAATTGTATTTGCTCGCTATTTTGGGGGTCTCAATGGCTTAATGCGCACTTCCAAACGTTTTCTACTTCAATCGTAAAGGAGTATTAGGTCATATCGGAGATTGGGTATTATCCTTTGAAATTAGTACTAGTTTGGGCGAAGCTAATGCTGCTAATATAGAATAAGTTAGTCGAGGATGCAATAGATTACTAAAGTAAAGAAACTCAAAAGCAAGTCACATAATAAAATAAGAAAACAAACATTATGTGCAGGTGGTTTTGTTATGAATCGCACGGAAACGCTAAAGCACGCAAGAATTATGATGCCCTGCAAAGCAACCATTCTCTCGTGTATGGTTCAACGTGGTCTGAAGATTTGGGGAATTTTCACACTCGCTATTTTCAGATTCTCGTTGCTTTACGTAAATACAATGACATCCTTGTCACAGGTGTTTGCCTCTGTAACGATGCGTAAAATGCCATAGATGAATTTATAGAGTCATTAAGTTATTTTGAAGCAAGAGACATGAAAAATGAGAAATGATCTCGCCGGGGCTCGAACCTGGACGTCTCGAATACGCGCCGAGTGTGCTAACGTTACACCAAGTACGCATACAGAAACGAGGGAAAAAATACCTTATGTACTCACCCTTTTTTAAGGGTGATTGGGGATTAGGGACCCACTAGCCAAATCCTGGTGGTGAAGAATCATCATCCAGCAGTTTTTAGTTCGGGCGTCACTGTAGAGTCATTTGGTTATTTTTAAGCACGAGACGTAAAAAATAAGCAAAGCCTTCGTCGGGACTCGAACCTGGAATTCACGAATATGCTACCGTTACAACACGAAGGCATGCAGAAAGGAGGAGAAAACACATTATGAAGGAATAAATGACATGGCATTTTTCTTCAAACAAATCGCGACTTTTTCTGAAAAAGCACAATAGACACATTCATATCCAGCGGCACTGCGGTTATAGAGTAATTACTGTATTATGCATCGCCATACTAGTTCGAAATCTGGCTTTTTGATGTGGCCTAGAATTAACATTTTTTTTCCTAGGTTATCTCTAGTATGCAATAATAGGTATTGAGCAACTACTATAAGCTGTTGTTTTCCTTTGTAGGCAAAGTCCTTCTGGGGGTAGTTACCAATAGCACAAACTTTCACATTTAACGGTCAGTAATTCATATATGACTATTCTGTTTCTTTTTTTGACTGGTACGTTTAGAGGATTTTTTGCATATTATCACGTCTGATTCCTGATCTTATAATGATTAGCAGACTATAGACCATGTGTACCTACAATAGATATCAAAGTGTTGACATATGAGGAATCACATGGCAACATACAGGACTGATATACGGGCAGATGCACCCCTTACATACGTCCAGTGTCTTATTTGGATGTGTTTTAAAAGTCACCGAGGATTTATACACATTGCAAAACAACGTTATTTTCTATTCCGGATAATATCTCCTTTTGTTTTGTTTTCAAAGACTGTCTTACAACTATCACGTTCCTATTCTAACTCAAATCCATCAGATGGCAAATTAAATATTGCAACTACGTATTAAAATTTTAAGCATTTTTACAAATAGGAATTCTCAGCACTTTGTACTGTTTGTAGTGAGTTACATGACAGCCCATAATTTGTCTCTACGGTGCAAAAATAAAAATGAATGCTTCCATCACGGTATTTTGAACACAAAGAAACATTCCTTTAAGCAACACAGACTTGGCATTTTTCAATTTCAGTACTGATTTCTGGAGAACTTAAGAAAGATTATTAATCAGGAAAAACTAGTATACACTGTAATCAGACTTTAACTTTCTGAATGCATAACTGATTTCTTAAAGTTTTCTCTTCTATTTCAACAGCGATCGCGGCCAACAATCTGAGCAAGTCCCTTCCAAACGCATCCTCGGACTCTGATCTGTCTAGAATGAGGCACCAGAGGAAATCTCCCTCCCTTAGCAATGTCATCTCCGAATCCCACTCCAGACAGAAAGAGAACAACTCAGCCAAGTTGCTTCTAAAAGAAATGCATTCGCACAAGCTCTATATGGGGGAGAAGGTCGCACAGGTAAGTCTCTATCTTTAATATTCCCTTTTATACAGGTACCCTAGAAGCCAATAATCTTATCTTGCTGAATCACTCTTTATGACAAGAAATTGCTAAAGCATGCACACCCTTCTGAAGTACATCAAGACCGATATCTGGACATCGTGGCTGAGTACATGACACTTTGTAGATCTAAGGAATTAAAAAATAATAAGTGAGAAAAGAAGATGTGAGAATCTATTACATCAGCATCTTCGTACATTTGCATCAGTGGAACTATCACAATAAGTGTGGTGCAATCACACTTTGCAGAATAATACATTTTCCATTGATTCTTTTAGATTTAATTCATTACAAGGGCGAACACGGGATCGTTAAGATGGATTTGATGTGCCTACAAATGAAACAACACTTGGTGTAGTCATTTTTTACAGTATAATAGATGATAAAAATCTTTCGTTTATTCATAAATGTGTTCTGATAAGTAAGAATTTTACATAATAATATTATAAATTAATATCACTGGTGAATGGAAAACTTACAGTGTCTCTTAATGTGATCTTAGAGGTTTAGAAACTTATAAATTCATTATGCCCAAAGTATATGTTGCTTTTTAATGAGCATATTGAGCAAATTTCACCTGAAGAATGGATACTTATAGTGATCATGTATGATATCATTATCTAAAGTATTAAGTGTTTATTTTCAGAATAATAAACAAGAATGCTATAAAATATGTGGAATTAATAAAAGAAATTAAATAGTTATTGCCATGATCAGTATACCTCTTGATGTTTATCTTAAGCGATCATGTGCTTGCTTTAACTAAAAAGACTATTTTTTGCTAACATGATAAGCAAATATATAAAAACTTATAATGCTAAATATGAGCAATGTTTGTATCAGATACTTTATGAGTAAATTATTCACAAACTCACATCAAGATCAAATGGAGGTTCGTTGCTCGATGGCTATAACTACCAGTTTTATGTCTCGGATTGTTCTAAACCCAAAACTAAATTGAAAAGAAATTGCGTTAGGTGTGAGTAATATAGGTGATTACTTCCTATACGCAAATTATCAGTGTTTACTTATGATTAATGTGCTGTTCTGTGTATCTCTCGCAATTACAAGGATTACTGAAATTGTGTACACGAAATATATGCGTTAAGAAATCATTAGTCTATCGGGTAATAACTCCATTTTTACACAGAAAGACATTTTAGTTTCGGTTAAGTAATTTGTTGCTCGACAATTTGCATTAAGGCCGATAGTGTTAATTTGCAAAGAAAGTGTTTTTTCTTCAACTAATTTTCCTATATTTTTCCCCTACATTTTTTGAATTAAAAAAAATACATTTAACCGTTATAAATTTATAATAGCTTTAATATGGAATTATCACTCTGAAATATAGTTTTTGAATAGGTTTTCCATTTCTAAAACCAACATGATATTTTTATTAATAAATGAAAACGTTTGTCATTTTAGGTTTTTATGTATCTTTTTGACATGTATTTTAGTGAAATATAAACCACATGAACAAAAATGTTAAATACAAAAATTTACAGCAATATCATAAATCGTCGTATTAGTTTTTGAGTAAATGAGATTTTCTCGTTTCTTATACAATGAAATATTTCTTAGAAATACTTTATTCTCCATAATGTATTTCCGTGTATTTAGCCTCTGCTATTCTTTTATCACAGTTTCATTCTTTATTTATTAAAAGAAACAGATTTGAATGAAACTCGGGAAAATACTTTTGTGCAGAATAAGAAAATCATTTAGATATAATTATAAGAGAGGAAAAGTTAATATTGAAAGCAAAGATTCTGCTTTCGTTCACAAGCATCCTTCAGTTGAGCTTTCTTATCAAAAGATATGAGCTTTCGATAGCTCTCATCTTTATCAAAGTGTCGTTGAGAAACAACGATTTGTTGAAAATCTTCACTCGGAAGCCTGTAAAGAACAGAATAATAGAAAAGTTTGCTTAAAAGAAAGAAATTTTCATATCCAATTCACGATAAATATCCTTTACCCAGAACTGGCAAAATAAAGCAAGGCTAATATCAGGCTGTTTCTTTTTATTTATTTTATTTTATTTTTATTTATTTTTCTATCTTTAACAGCGAAACTTCCATCAATATCGTACCCGCTCATACTGTTTAGTAAATATTTCAAAACTAATATCATGAATCTAATTTTCTTTTCTCGCAGATACAATTACAATTTTATGACATGCTATTCATTAGATTATTCTAAGGCTATAATGTTATATCTTATTGGATACAGCGAATTTTAGGTGAACAACGTTATTATAATCTGCACTAAAATATAGAACATGAAAGCTATATCATTGATTAACTGCAAATCATTTTTAGATGTTACTTATAAGTAATGTCTAACACTGTAGATCTTGTATCTAATAGAATGTCGCATGAAATTTAATGTATATTTACTTTTGTTATGTTTTGCATATTTGATGCATTTTTTACATAATCTTCAGTTATTGTCAAGGTATTTTTTTAAATAATTATAACTCATTTTATTTCTTTAATTCTATAGTCACTGGGTTTTGGAGTTTGAACTGTAAAAGACAAATAATTTTCAAATCAGGAGATACCTATGTTTTTTCCCTAAATAGAAAAACAAAAATTCTAAATATGATTTCTTAAAGCTCTTTTACCAAACGATTTTTATACACTGTAAAAAGTACAGTCGACGAAATATCATATATTATGATCTTCAGGTGGAAAGGTAATTAATATACCTTTCTTTTTCTGTGTAAAAGCTCGAGTTATACCTAAAGCTGAGATACATGCGTATGTGGACGATGCTGATAAATCAGTTCCCTATAGATACTAAAATACAAGCGTTGCCATAGCATTTTCTTGTATCCTTTGTAAATTCCTATGTAATAAGCATGAAGAAAACTGTGTCTGCCTTAGAGTAGAAATATCGAGTCAGTTATGATTTATTAAATAAATTCAAAGCAGAGTGTCATAAGCAGAAAATGTATACCACAACTTACATGAAGAAAATTTCGTGTTTTCAAAAAATGTTTTTAATGTTTCTAATGACATTTATTTCAAAACAGAGTAAGTTACTATTCGAAGTTAACATTAATCGAAATTTTTATAAGCTTTGCCATAAAAAAGAATTGAAATTTAAATTCTTATTCAGAATTTACCTTCAGTAATATATTCGTTTTACATAAATGCAAAAAACATCTTTTTCTAATGGCATCAATCTTAAAAACGCAATTTTTTTCACTCTATTTTGAAAGTTATCATGAAAAAATTATTCAGTTATTTAGATGTTTCCAGTACTTTCTAAATCGGAATATTTTTGGAAAAGTAAAATTCTAACAATTATTTAAAATATCTCTATAATTAAAGACATAAAAAATACTCTTGGAAAGAGAAAATGTGTTGAGTAATTATCCTTTAATAACAATGAAATCCATTAATTAATAGTATAAGAGATAATGAATACAAAGGAGAACAAAATTGTAAACTTGGTATCTAAATCATCTAATATCGATAGACTATAATGTATCTATCCATAAGCATTGAAATAAAACACTTATGGCTTTACCAGATTGAAAATATAGAATCAGTAAAAAATGCAATTATATGCTTTCGCAATAATATGTTATCACAAATATTAAATTATGCGTACACAAAGAATTAATTTTTAAACGAGATACAGTAATTAAACTAATTTCTTTTACTTTGCTAATTTATTACAACTAAATCATTCGTGCGTAATTAAACTTGAATATGATATTTTTGATAACTATACTGAGGTTTTATTTCTGTGAAAGTTTTTTGGAATCTAGCCCACTTTAGTGACGTTTAAATCATATGTTCTTAGTTCCCAAGGTAAACTGCATCTTACGAGAATCTGATGTTTAATAATAATTAAGAGCATTTACAGAATCTACGTATACTTAATTATGATATCTATGCACACTATTTACGTAAAGTTTTCATAACTTCAGCAGAAATGTTACTGGTAGCAAATTTTTATTTTTACTTTTCCTGCGAATATTTGTAAGAGTCTGGTTATTTTTAACTGCGTGAACGCATTATATCCATTGCAATAAAACTCGAATCATCCGAACTCAAGTATCGCGATTCCAGTTACCGAAACTCCGGTTATCAACTAAGCTTTTTAAACGAAGATAATTAAAGCTGTGAATTAATTAATTTATTTTTTGTTGACTTAAATAATATTAACTAATTTTTATTACTGAATGTCCTAACGCATATTAACTAATTTTTATTACCGAATGTCCTAACCCATTAAGAACATAATATTATACTTGAGCGCGTTTATTGTTACTACGATATAACTCCAATTATCCTAAATTTAATTATCAAGGCTGAAATTATCCGGATCATTCTTTAAGCGAATTGAATTAAAAATTTATTTATTTACTATTGTTATGTCGCGAATTTTAATTTTTAGTCCAAAGGGGCTTTGTCCATGAAGGACTACAGTTTTCGTTTTTCGATTTTGCGTTGAATCACTATCGTTTCACTTTTCAAACTACTGCCATCAAATATTAGAGTTCTGGATTATATTTGAAGAAATTAAATAATGAATCTCGCATTGTGATGAAACAAGGGTACATAAAGCCATCGGATTTTGAATGACGTAATCCTCCTACGAATATGGGCATGTGGAAGACCAAATTTGAAATTTGGAATTTGTTTTATGATCGATTTCATATTCTGTAAAACTTTAACGAATTTTTGAGTAACCAGCTCAACGATTTAAAAGCGAGCAATGACAACACTCTAAGGGGGGGGAAACCTTTTTATCTCCAGCGCGCAGAATTGTGTATCGGAAATTCTAAAGATAGGCTCATTTTAAAATTATTTTGCGACTTGCTATTGAACTAATTTTATGGTTTAAGTGCAAAGAGCATATATTTAAGAAAAGGTAACACACAAAACGTTTTAAAAACGCCCCTTTGGACGTATTTAAATCTTAATCTTGCAGATTTTTTTTTTTATTTTTATTTATTTTTTTTTTTTAGTCCAAAGGGGCTTTGTCCCTAAAGGACTATTGTTTTCGTCTTGCGATCTGAAACCTTTCAGATTTTAACGTTTTGTGTGTTACCTTTATTTATTAAATATCATGTTTGCACTTAAACCGTAAAATTCAGTTAAATAGCAATGTCGCAAACAAAGTCAGGAAACGTTGCGAGAAAACACCTGGTTTATGGCCTTTTACTAACAGTGGAAGTTTTGTTATATTTGCAATGTTTACTTCAAGAAAGTGGGGGTTTATTGTAAGTTTATATAATTGGATTTTTTATGGCTTAGTTTCCGCTTGTTAGCTGGAGGAGTCTAGTTCCCACGTTTTTCCCGAAGTACAGATGGTCAGGACTGCATTGTCCGGATTGCCTTGTTTTGATTCGTTGTGGGGGTGTAATTTTCTCAGTTAAAGATAAAGTAAAATTTGGGGATTGGTGAGATTTAATTTTGTGATATTTTTGTAAGCCTGTGAAATTTGCGGGAGCGGAGAGACCGAGTTTACTTCGGAGACTGCACGTTGTAAGAAGTGAGTCTTGAGTCTTGATTCTGATTTTTGAGAAAAAAGAAAAAGAGAAAAGAGTGTGCGGCTTGACCCCTTGCGGGTCTTGCTCTCGCGCGTCGGAACGAAGTCTGAGATTGGAAGTGAATCTTCACCAGACGAGATGTTAAGAAAAAAAAGGGAAAGAGTGGCGGGGCTTGTCCTCTTGGTGCGACGCCCGCGGGTTGGTGCGACGTTTCTCTCCATTTGCTGCTGAGGAGAATTTCAGATCGAAAGGAGAAAATACTTTACGTTATTCTGCGGGAAAATCCAACTGGAGTCGTTTTTAGTTGAGTGCCAGCTAGTAAACCGGCCTAAAGAAGTGTGATGCGGTAAATTCTACTTGACTCAGCAATAAGGGACTTATTCTAGAAGTTATCGTAAATTCTGGTACGAGTGACGAAAGATTTTCCTGACTACTAACTGTGAGTTCCTTATTTTTTTTTATATTATTTGCAGGAATCATAGATTATTTGGCCGGAAAAAGTTAACTAATCTTGCATTTTAGTGGAAAGGGAAAATTAAGTTAATAATGGGAAAATTAATTTAATAATAAGAAAACTGCTTTGAACCTTAAAGAGAATTTGAAATTGTTGCCCTTAAAATGTGTAATTCTGTAAATTGTAAAATTCTTCATTAGTTTAGGTGAGATCTTTAAATATATAGTTTAATGTTAGCGGATAATCATGAGAATCTTTTATTATGTTAATTTGGAAATTTGATCTTCATAAATGAACCTTTGAATTGATACATAATGTGGAAGATTAATAACTGTTGTATGTAAGGGTAGTTTGGCCAGGTATCTGAAATTGGATATTGGAGAAATTAATAAATGTGTTTGACGTATATTTTATGTTTTATTTATTTATTTTTTTGTGTAATTTACTGTTGTCTGTCATGTAACTTCATTTGTTTGAGCCGGGAGGATTTTAGAGACATGGGTGTTTTATTGAATTTGGAGTTATTGTTATTGATTTAAATTTTTGAATAGGTTACTCACAGCGCTTTATTGTACTACCACTATACGACTGTTCTTATGATGAATTTGATTTTTTTTGTTAGTTTGTTCGGCAACTAGCGAGTTTAAAGTGTAAAGTTTAAGAATTTAAAAAACCGAAATTTTCATCCGCAACAATGGTGCCTTGATCAGGATTTAAAATAAGGTGTACAGTTTTAAAGGTTAACCCCCCCCCTAAATTTTCAGTATCGCAACACTATTTTTTAATTACATCACAGATTGTCTAACTATAGTGCATGTACCATTAATGTCAAATTACATTATTTTGGAGATAAAACTCTGAAAAATAAATGTAATTTAAATAAATGTAAAGTGGCTCTCCTTATGGTACATGTACTGGTATACGTTTGCACACGTAGTTTTTATTCTTATTTATATTATGCAAAATGAAGAAACTTGAGAACCTCTGATTTGAATAAAATCAACAAATGATGCAGCAATGTGAATATTTTAGGAAACATTTACAGTCCCTTATTAATTTAGATGAAAAGGTATTGCATGAAACGTAGCTTATAATGTTCGTCAAGAAACTAACCTGTAAACATTAGTGAAAAAGCAATGATGTGCGCTTTTATTTTGATTAAAACAGATATATTTAAACAAACAATTTTTTTTTTGTTAAACTAAAATATAAGTTGCGTGTTCAGGCAAATAAAGAATAATTGTGTCAATCACTTTTGCTGAAAAAGTGTGTTTAGTAAATTTTTAATTGAGTGATCTTTGAAATATAATATAAATAAAGCTATTGAATAAAAGCAGTTAATTGTTTAGTTTTGAAATAATCTCTACATATAATAAAAGAAAAGGTTTATCTGTGTGTGTCTGTGTCTTTCGTTAGTGCTGTGCGTAAGCTAATAGACCCAGGACTACGACATTTGCTACATAGGTGCACCTAGATAAGAGCCAGTGCACCTCGAAGTGATTTTTTCAAAATTCGAATCAGAATTTTTTTATTTTATCTTTTTCGATGAAATTACATCATTTTATATAGTTTTATTCTTTTAGAAATGTAGTTTTGGCAACAGTTTTTATTCCTGCTTGATACTGACGCGAGCTGTTGAAATATGAGTAAATATATAATTATACACGCATCGCACATCGCAGTCGTTTTCTGACGCGGCTGTTCTCCGAGACCAACGGAAATAATTCCTTTTTCTCTCTTCTCTTTATAATAATGGCAGAAAGGTTTGTGTATTTGAATTATGTCTTCACAAAGCACAATTTGAGTGTTATTGCTTCTATGATACTTTCCTCATTAGAATGTGGCTGTGGCAACGGTTTTCATTCAATGCTTTATATATGGACTGCTGCTGTTGAATATGAGATAAAATTATTAATTATACGAAAGCACAGTGCAATCTTCGATTCTGACGCGCTGTTCTCGCGAGGCCAACAGAAAGAATCCTTTTTTTCCCTCTCTCTATCGATATTAGTAAGCAAAGAGTTTTATATTTTGAATTATTCATCCACAAGCAAAATTGTTGATTGGTTATTGCTTATGATGATAGTCATTTTCAGAGATGTGGTTTTGGCACAGTTTTTCATTCAGGCTGGATACAGGACTGCTGACTGTTTTCTCTTGAAAATATGAAATTTATTGTTTATTTCATGATGATTTTTTATATTATGTTATATTTATATGTAGTTTTAATTATATAAAAGTGGTTAATCTTCCATAATCGGGGTGAGCGCCAAACATGGCGAGAGTTTTTAATTTGGCACGATTTTGATTTGGTTATGGTGCTGTATGTTTCCCTGTGGCAAACCTGGAACTTTATTTCGGTGCTTGTAATGAGTGCGAGTTTAGTTTAGGCAGAAGATTCTTAATTTTAATTTAATTTTGAAATACTGTGTTTGTTTTTAAAAGTTTTACTGTTTAATATTTGCAGGAGGTTAAGCTGTTGTTGGTGGGAGAATGTTGGATTTCAGATGACGTGAAGTTTATAATTATGAATGTTTTCATTTAATTTAGTTAATGTTTTCTTGGTCAGTTAATTATTTTTTTAGTTTTTTTTTCTTGCATGTGACAATCGAAAGATGTGGAATGTTTAAATTTTTGAATGACAGTTGCTTCCATGACGTTAATAACTTGTATTAACAAATAAATTCAAATTTAGTGAGTTTATGATTCATCCGTTGTTAGTGAATTTGAATGTATTTACTCCGTTTACAATTTTAGCCCACCAGCGGCCGAGCGGTAAAGTCGCTGAATACTGGTAGTTCGGTCCGAGGTTCGAATCCCGCGAACGGGCTGGCTGCATGGGCGTTTTCGTGGTTTTCCCCATGTGTAACGTGTATACGAGGCAGTTTCCCATAAAAAGTCCTCCACGAAAGGCATCCCTCCCCTTAGGCAGATAGCTCTCGTGTGCTTTGCCATAATTAAATACACCAACACCAACACCACCGTTTACAATTTTAGAAACAACAAGGAAAGTGTTAGACAATTTATTATTTTATTATTCATTATACTATTTTATCATGAATTACGTAGATAGGACTATGTTTTTATTTGCAAAGCTGGTGGACTTTGTTTTACTTATCTAGTATTTTATCATCTCATTTTATTATTCTGTTTACATAAAATAACGGCGTTTCACTACTTCAAAACTTAAAATTTACTATTCTGTTTACGTTTAAAAATCACATCTTAGTGCTGTCATTGCCGCCAAAAAAATTCGCCAAATTTTGAAGGCCAAAATAGTTTGGCGGAAACTTACCCCGGTTATGAAAGATTAACCTAAAAAGTTTGCATGATTTTTTTTAGGAAACAAGGTTCTTAACTTCCATTATACCTTTTGAATTCTTAAGATTTTGCAACGGGAAGTTGAATTTATTTGTTAAGATAATTAATATTTATGTTAAGGGATATTGCATATTTCATTGTAATTTTTTTATATGTAATACATTTTCATTGAAATTTCTGTTTTCCCTTTTATGGTTATTTTTTTTTTTTGATAAAGTTGTTCTACAGAATAAAATTCTGTGCAGTTTTTAAATTTAATGTTTGGTGTTCCCTTTAGGCACTTTCTGGTACATTTGAAAGCCAGACGAAGGCTGGTCGCGTAGCGGCTAGTGTACAATAAAGGAATAAATAAAATTTGCTCACTTGCATTATATGATAATATGGGAACCCGTCCGAATTTTCAGACTATTTACACAGGTTGACAGGAATAGATATTTATTCATCAGAGTTCCATTATATTTTCTAACGAAATAAAGATTCTCTTAATAGAGCTTAAATGTATCGATTAACCTGCTTATCAAGTTCTATCATTCATTCTTGGTCTATCGACCTGTATTCGCAGTTCCATTTTTAGTACACACATTCATTTCATACTTCACGTTAGCCATTTGCATCGACAAATTCAGGTAAAAAATATTGATTTCATTAACGGGTTCTGGGATAAAGGCTTAGGAACGTTTTGAAACATCTCAGTAGACCATTTGAAAGAAGAACACTTACCTATTCAATAATAGCTACTTGGCCTTATTTCGAAAGTCATTGGTGACGAAATTCTATCTGTCTGAAACGCTTGCTGGAGAAAAGTTCTTAAGAAATTTAATTGTGTATATTTTTATACCATATTCAAGATATGTTTTGGAATTAAGAATTTTAAAAATACTTTTACTGGCTGATATTTCACACTCTTCGACTGTCTTGATTATTATCTTCAAAGTACGTAAAGGAAAGGGTGGTCATAAAATACTTTTGACTGGTACATAAAATACCATTGACTGGTACAAGGAAAAGGAGAGAAAAAATACTTTTATTGGAATTACAAGTTTTCAACATGCCTACCTTTGTAGACAATAATGCATTGAATGCGGAAGCTCGTTGCAACCACGACGAACGTAAAATAACAGGAAGAACAACTTCACGTTTTATGGCATCTTTCGATTGTGACAAATCTCGTGTACTTGATGTGTACACCTTAGATTTCGAATAACACCAGAAACAGTTTTGGTTTGTTTTATTAGATTGCGGCAAAGCACTCGAGGACTATCTGCCTTAAGGGAGGGATGCCTTCGTGGAGGACCTTTTAAGTTAAACTGGCTCGGATACCCGTTGCACATGGCGAAAACCACGAAAACACCCATGCAGCCAGCCCGTTCGCGGACCGAACTACCAGTGTTCAGCGACGTTACCGCTCGGCCGCTGGTGGGGCCCCCAGAAACAGAAATTCATCGGAGTGAGGTCGAAAGATCACGAAACTGCAAAGTTACGGGATTACCTTATCTTGCAACGTTATACACGCTGAAAACTTGTAATTCTGGATAAAAGTAATTTTTACCTCTCCTCTTTTGTATTGTCATTGGTTCTTCATAATGCTCTTCTTTACGCAATTTTCATCGTATCGTTTCAACACCGTTTATGGTTTTTCCAATGTTCTGATCAATTTGCGCAGGAAAAAGTATATGTTGTCATTTCAAAACTTCTAAATTGGTTCGCTATAGCCGTAACTGTGAGAGATATCTTGTTTTAAATAATCACAATATCGAGCTACTACCATCAAATGACAATATCTGAAATTTCGTTTCGACTGGTTGAGCGAATAGGCCGCTAAGGGTTCATATAACGGAGAGATGTTCTTTTGGAAACTGCAGAAACTGCTATAGTGTTGGCTTTAAAATATACTTAGTGAATGATAAGAAAGTAATAATTATAAAATGTAATAATTATAAAGTATTTTCTTTACTCATTATATGGTATTTATTATAGATTCTTTAACGCAGGCAAAGCACGTAAGGACTACCATCCTACATTTTCATTTTGATTAGAAGTAGGATAAAATTTAAGAGTCTCGCACGTGTTTTCCACCACCATAATGCTCTCGACAGGCCTTTGTGATCAACCGATTTTCTGTATCTCTTCTCAAAGACACGTGATAGACACTAATATCCATGCCTTGTTTTGCAGCCAGTTTCCTTTAGAAAATATTGGAGGAAAGCATTCCTGTCTTTTAGTATCATTGTCATTATAAGGGCACAGCCCCTATCCTCCTAGCCGGCAGAAGCCGGCAGTATGATTAAAATAGTGTATAAGTATATATTTTTATATATAAAAACTATATACGTATATAATTTTAGTATATAAGTTTTTTTACCTTTATTTAAATCAATTAAAAATCAAATTGCTTTAATCGATTTAAAAAAATGCAAAGTCCGATTCCGGACACAACGGTAGTGCAGTCACTCTCCATTAACCAATGAATTTTCCTGCGGATTTCAAATCTTAAATGTGTAATCATTTCACTCTATCTAAGTCGGCAGTGAAGAAAATATAACATAGAATGTAGTCAAATATACAGGTATATTTACTTTTTTCAACAACGGTTTATTTTTTATTAGATAACCGTCTGGCTTTAGATGTCAGAGCTTGTCTTTTCAAACAAAAATAATTATTATTTTTAATTAAAACGAAGAGCGAAATAACCAAATTTAATGTGATTTTCTGCCAATTTTGTACTTTAACCCAGTGCATAGATATCAGTACCTGTAAAATTCCTGCTAATTTACACATCATGTATTCCTATAAGTGAACAATTCTCGTAATAAAAGAAATTAAGATATTTTTAACGAATTCTCGCATTATTCATCATAGGGCACTGATCTGAAAGTGAAGAATCATACAGCCACCTTATATATATATATATATATATATATTTCAAGTTAAAAATTCAAATTTAGACCAAAATCTGTATCAAATTTTGAAAAACCACCAGTAAATTATGGTTGTATAAAAATATTTCAAGAAATTAGGGAAAGCCTAGGTGAAGTCAACATTTTACTTCAAAACTCGACACAAAAAGAAACCAAGTTAGACAAAAGCGAGCAATAAATGGTAACTTTCGTATTTAATTCTTGCCTTGAAGCTGAATGAATAAATTATTAAGTATTTTGTTTATCATACTGTTTGCAGCAGAGATGGTTAGCTGTAGCTGAACTTTCGCGTGTATTCTATTTATGAAGCGATTCCTCTTAGAATATTCCCATGTAGACAAATTTTCAAAACAGGTAGCTTTCGCGTGCTTTGCCATAATTTTATTCCTTCAAAAAATTCGCACGTCAACGAAAGAATCACATTGCATGCGTAAATTTTAGTCATGCAGCCAAAAACTCGTCCGAAAACGCATGTATCCGGAAGATAGAATTGCATCGCGTTATTTCAATATTTAAATTGCAAAAGTTACTTTGTTAGTTAAATAACTCAGGTGAGCAGGTCACATGACATAGGCGTCAGGATATAGTTTGACCCTGTGTATAATGCTGTGGTAAACTGATAGCGCTCAATCATAAGAAACTGATTAAACTTATTCTGTTGTAAGTCGTTAAGTTTTCATTAGCCTTCTTCTTAAAAAATTAGAAGTAATGACTTTCATTAGCCATAACTTCTAGTTTTTTAATGTAGTCTACGTTTTTCATTAATACAATTGATATGATTTTCTTTCGTTTGATGGTCTTCAAGTTTCACGAAGCTAATACATTAATTTCTCAAAGAAGAAAAAGTGAAGTATAAGAGAAAATGGAATAAACCTTTTTGCCGATCTTAGGATGAAATAGAAATTAATAAATTTAATTATTTGTACATTAAATAGATTACGTTTTAATTTAATTTTAAAAGCCAATATTTAAAATAACCTTGACATTTGCTAGTGCATAATAGTATTTCATATTTCGTTTCAAAATTTGAAATTATTTTGAAAAGAAATCTTGTATTAAAAATTAAACAATGATCATTCAGAAGTTGCCGATGTAAACTGAATTCGAACTTCCGAACCTTTCAAAAGCCTTGATCAGAGACTTCAAGAGTCTTTCGAAAGATGAGTTTTACGAAGGATTCAGAGAGGTGCATGACAGTTGGCAATTGTTTTAATAGATTTAAAGTGGTTATATATTGTATTTAAAAAGTAACAATATTGTTTCTACAGCTTTCAGTTTTGTACAAACATTATCTTAAAACTTTATAATCCAACTCAGTATACTAACAACAGTAAAAAGGTATAATATTTAAAATTTATCTGAAGAAAAATAACAATTCGTTTTTCATGTAAAATTAATAAATTTTAATAAGAATTTATAATGCTAGGAAGATGTTCAAAGTTTTTGAAAATGATAACCTTTTGTTAGTGTAGTAAAAATTAAAAGAAAAACTGAAAATCTCTTGCGATAAGCATAGAATTTAATTCAATTTTACAAATTATTATAATAAGATTACATTATGGAATTACAGAAAATATTTAAACCGTTAATTATTAGAATCCTTTAATATGGTTGTAAAACATGGAAATAAATTACGTATATATAAACTCTTCAAGGGAAAGTGATAGATTTATTCATCGGATTTCATACTATCTTCCCTAAATATAATTGGTTTAGTAAGTTCCAAATTCCGTGAATTTTGGATGATCTAGGATTTTTTGCGAATGGTAGATTTTTCAACAACTGCCGAATAAATCAAAGAATTTCTGATTTTTTTCCTGCTATTACTTTTTTGTTATAACTGTTAGATTATGTATATTTAAAATATTTGAATACTGCTTTCCATTAGAATTTCCTTAGAAATACTCTTTAATGTACGCCTGTTCCGAAATGTAAACTGGAATATTAAGTTTTGGTTTAACCTAAATTTTCCTGGATTTCTGAAACGCGGTAAAAATTTCTTTTCCGAATCTACCTTTAACCGCACTTCGTTGCCTGTCAATACCTACAAAGAATTTCGAGGCTGAACTATAATTTATATGAAAATGTGTTATTTCATGGCGAATATCTTTATGTGTACAGTGATATGCATAAAAACACCATTCAGTTAAATGGTAATCTTGGTCTATAATGAAAGTGTTCAATACATTTCCATAATTTGACTAGTTTATAAATATGAATTTCAATCAAGAAATGGGGGCCCACCAGCGGCCGAGCGGTAAAGTCGCTGAACACTGGTAGTTTCGGTGCGAGGTTCGAATCCCGCGAACGGGCTGGCTGCATGGGCGTTTTCGTGGTTTTCCCCATGCGTAACGTGTATACGAGCCAGTTTCCCTTGGAAAGTCCTCCACGAAAGCATCCCTTCCCTTTAGGCAGATAGCCC